AAGAGAGTAATGAGAAGCAGCTCAACAGAGTCCCAGGGAGTGAGGACCTTAATACTTTACAAGCTCACCAACTTGGATGACATTGATCTGGCCCTGTGCAAAATTGCTTTTATTGAATGGGGTATTGTGGGAGACAGCACACTGTTCAGAGAACTCTTTATAAAAACCCACCAGAGGCCAGACTTCCCTCAGGCCTCAGTGTCGGCAAAAGCTGGCCTTTTATCTTAACATGTTCATCTTACAGACATTGGAGACCTTCTATCTGCATTTCCCTTTTTACTTTCGCTGCCAGGAGCTACCAGCTGAATTTTAAGTCACCCTCTTTAGTCCTGTGACTGGCTAACAACATGCACTTCTGCTTCCTTGCTCACTTCCATTTTATTACTTCCATTTTATTACTCACCCTTATTTTCCCTTGACCCTTCCAACTTCACTTTTAATCCCACTTACTTGTATGACTTTCCTCTGAAAAAAACCCTAAAAATATTTTTTGAAACACAGAAAAGAGTAAATTACAACTTTGAAAGCGTCAAGTAATCAGAATCCTTCAGGCTGGGTGGTCTTGAGAATGTACTTTTCTGGTCTGCTGAAAAATTGAAAAGGTATTAATCTTCCTTTCTGCCAAAAGAAGAGTTCCTAACATAACTGCTGACGGCTGGCACAGCCACCGCACAGAATCGCAGGCAGAGCCCAACAATCAGGGGTCTGCAGGTGGATCCACAGCACACACACATCCCCTTCCATGTGACCAAGGTCAAGCTATTTAAATTCAGAGGCTCCAATTGATCTGTAAAGTAGAAGTAACATTCTATGCGCATCAGAGGTCTGTGAGCATCAAGTGAGAAACAGGCAGTCTTTTCATAAACTGTAAAGCACAAAATACACCTTAGAGATCTCACCTGCTTTAATTCGCTACCAAAGAGGGTATCGAAGATTGTGCTGATATAGGCTAAGAACAAGAAGTGTGCTTTGAACGCATTTTCTTAACAATGTATTTTTATCCTACCTGTGGGATGCAGTGACGTTTGAGAAAGTGGTGATTACGTAAGAGCCCTGGTGGATGAAGTTTTGACTCTGTACCAAGAAAGCCCTGGACACCATACCTGGGCACCCCATCACTGAGGAACAGGTTCCTTCTTAACCCTCTACGTCCCTGAGCTCTCAGAGCCTGATTCACGGATCACCAATCTCTTCTCATTTTGTCTCCTGGAAATTCATTATCCAGACACCCATCATATGAGTTTTCCTAAACTGCACATGTCAGCCTATCAATCCTCTGTTTAACTGCTCCACCACAAAGGTCCCACTGCCTGTAGGTCAAGTTCACACTCCATAAGTGTGCATCCAAAGCCGTCCACAAATCAACTTCCATTCATTGCAGCTCTAACATCGTCTTCTCCCAAAACCTGGTACTTTCTCACACCTCAGTACCTCCCCTACCCCAAGTCCCATACATAACCAATCTCTCCCTTGCCAATCTGTATTAACCTATGACTGAAACTGCAGAACCAGTTCAAAAGTTATTTTTCTCCAGGAGGCTTCTTTGTTCCTGTAAGTCACTTCCTTTCTCTGTGTTTCTGAGCCACTTTGTTCACATCTTGCAGGGACTCGTCCTGTGCCTACTGGAGAGGCTGCACAAAGTTTTCAGAGGTGCTTGCTCAACAGATGAACAATGCCTGTTCTTTGCCAGGGGTGGAGAGAGGCCACTGAAAGGCCTGGGGTTTTGTTTGTTTTAATCAATCCAAAAGCAATGGCAGTGGCAGCTGGAGAGTGGGAGCCCCAGCTCATTCAGGAACTTGGTTTCAGGACAGCTGATGAGATGTGCAAGGTCAGCGGGGCCTGCTGACCTCTGCTTTCCCCCTAGTACCAGAAGGCAAAAACACTGCACATCACCTTTCACGGGCTGTGAACAAGCCAGTGTCCAGTGTCCCCAAGATCTAGTATAAAACTCATATTAAAGGGACAACACAGTCAAATTCTCACCATATAATCAGAAGATAAGTAGACAGCATTGCATGCAATCCATATGCAAAAAGAAAGAAACCATGCTCAAATCATCATGTCAGAACATGGGGGACACAGGCAGAGGAGCAGTCAAAACAAAAGGATGACCCAGGCAGAAGAGCAGTCAGAAGAGACCCAGCAAGCTTGGAGTCACAGGCCATGCTCGCTGTGGCGGGTACTTGAGTGAGCACAGTTGTTCTAACCGCTTAGTATCTTCAATCAAAACAGCACTTTCGCTGGGTAACTGATGAACCCCCTACAAACACGTGAACATTTGGCTCTAGAGGAAGCTTCCGCAGACTACAAACACACACGCATACACACACGCACACGATGAATAGGCACGTGACATCAGCTGAGCCTCTAGGACCTCACCCCTCTGACTGCCCTGACAGGAGACAGCAGGGCAGTTGTGTGGAGAGCTCTCCTTCCTTAAGTAATTAACTGGGAAGATGGGATCCCACAGGGCCAAACACGTTGAACTGAAGGAAGTGGATCAAGAAGGAGAGGCTGGCTTCCTGAGGGACAGAGACTCGGTCCTGGCAGAATTTCAGTCACCCGTCCTTCTAGCAGTTTGGTTACACGGGCAATAAAATCCCCTTTTTGCCTATGAGTTCAGACCAGGTTACTGTCACTGGCCAAAAACTCCACCCACAGTACACCCCACCTAGGCCCTGCCTCTCTCCACCGCATCCCCCACCCCATGCCTTGCCAGACACTCTTTGCTTCCTTATGAAGATGTGTCCCTGTTATACAGGGATATATCTTTTTAACAACAGTCACCCAAAACTGTTTTAGAAGCCCCAGGGTTTGCATGAAGAAGTAAATTATGAGGCCAATGATGTGTGATGATAGAGGAGTTGGTAAGCAAGTTTGAGCACAGCTATGATGGGCTGTTGTGTAGTCACATCAAATGCCACCAAGAGAAAATTATAATTTTTAGTTACATATTACATATGTATATAATATAGGTGTGTGTGTGTGTGTGCATTCTCCTACCACCCCATCAACTGAATGAATATCACTCTAATGACAGTAGAGATGGAGGAGACAAACTATTATAAATTTTAAGAATTTAACAGGGGAGGATATGAGAACTAGCTATGAAAACTGCACCTATGTGAAAAGACCCCCTAGCCAGGCATTCCTTACCTCATCCATAAAGGCACACTACTCAAGTCTTACTCTTCCCTTTCAACTTAAGGGTCATCTCTTCCTAGAAGGTTTCCATGATCACTCCATCCACAAGGATCTCTTTGCACTATGCAAGTTGCACTGATTAGCTCTGGATTTTAATTTTTGTATTTTGTCAGATATAATTTTTTCATCTCCCTTAGAAAAAAATAAAACATTCAGAGGTCATGCCTTGCATTTCTATTAGCATCTAAACCAGGTATGCCTGGTGTTCAATAATATTGAATAAATATGGGAAACTGGCCTTTAAATAACAGGTAATATAACATGTATCCCCAATACTATTGGTGGTAGCACAAATTGGGCCAGTCCATTCGACAAATAATTTGGCAGCATGATTAACTACTATAAAATGTTTCCACCATCTGAGTCGATAATCTCACTCCTTAGCATCTAACCCTGGGATTTCAAGAGAAAACACCTTTATGCCCAATAATGTTCACAACAGCATTATTTAAACAGTCAAATGTCTAACAGGGAGGAAATGATGAACTAATGCCTATGAAACCTATCCGATGAAGAATATGCAGCATTCAACAGCTCACTCAGAAGCCCACATAGCCTGATCAGACAGACCAAGCGGTCAAAGAACACAGGGCAAGCACCCGACTATACGGAAGCTCGGCTGCACCAGATCTGAAGGCTGACGCTGAAAAACAGAATGATGTCCCGCATAAGGATGATGGAATTATAAATGGCATTTTCTTACTGTTCTCAATTTTCATTATTGCTCCCTTAATGTTCGTTAAGATTTTGGTTAAAAATATAAAGCATGTGTGTTTCCATTCTCTTATCAGTGTCAGCATTAGGATTTCAAGCTACAGATGCTGTCTGGGGCATTCTTGATGCAGAGTCAAAACTTGACCCTGCCCACTGCAACCCTCACAGACCCTACTTCTGGCCCTAGGGACTCTCTTCACCCTCTACTCTAACGCCCAGCCGCCCCAGCTCCTCGCAAGTAATCAATTCAACCCCAGCTCAGCCACTGAGCACCAACAAGCCCTCCCACTCAGAATTCGTCCTGCCTGACGACACCAAGGCTACAATCTGTGTGCCTCTCAAGACACTGAACACTTAAGTTAAATACACTATAAAATCTAAAAGAGAAATTATTTTTTGCCAATCAATCCAGAGAAAATCCTTTAAATGCTAATACCCAATGCTTAATAGTCTTAAAAAAAAAAAATGACTCTCGTGTAGGGAAGCAGGGTATAATGTTAGAATAATTTGAGTTTATCTATAAAATAGCCATAGAAATAGTCATCTCCTTTAATGAAGAAATTTTACCTCTATCAGGAATAATCAGTGGATAAATATTTATCTACAAGGTTGTTTGCTGCAGCATTCATTATAAGACAATAAAAAAAAAAACAAAAAAACAAACACCACCTAAATGTCCTACAATAAAAGACCGGTTAAATGAAGTATAGTGCACCCAAGTGATGAAACAGGATAAGGGCACCCAAAATAATTACAGCTTTGCAGAACATTTATAACACAGCAACACACCAAAAAAAAGAACATTGCATTTAAAATGCAGGATACAAAACTGCATCCTGATACCGGTATTGGTTTGAGACCAATAATCCCTGAGAGACAGAGACAGACTGGCAGACACAAGAGAAAGAACTAAAATACCAAACAGTTAAGACTGGTCATTTCTGGGTGATAAAATGATGAGGAAAGTATTTTCTTCTTTATATTTTTTAGATTTTTCTATAATGAATACCTTCCTAAAACCAGAGACAGCCAGAGTCCCAGCCCATTGCACTGCCCACAAGCTCAGAGGACTGGGTGCTCACGCGGATGGTGCCGTCTCCTCGGCTCTTCTCTCCACGGGCCGCCTCCAGGTCCTTCTCTAGCCTCTCCCTCTCCTGCTGCAAGTCGCTCAGCTCCTGGGTGACCTTCTTAATATTCCTACGCAGCTTGTGGTTTTCTGTACTCTTGGTGAAGTTTTCTGAGTGCAGCTCAGCTAAAAGGGCTGCCTTTTCTAACAGGGCAGCCTCATAATCTTCAGACCCCTAAAAGAGGAGGGAGAAAAGGAAGATGCGTTGATTTTCATAGCTCATTGAACAAAAAAAATCTGTGATCCTTTTTCATCTTGCTGGGGAAGTGGAAAGAAAAAGAATACCAAAGAAACACTCAAGACCCAAAGCACAAATAAAAGGAAGATTCTGAAATAACATAAGAGTAATGTTTTGTTGTGATGCTAATATAAGGGGGGAGGCTCCAACTGTGTAAAATAAATATTTTCTTAAAGAAAAATTAAAGTATATATAATACAGTTATATTCAAGAGAAAATAAACGTTTTTTGTCTGTCCTTTGTAATAGAGTGAAGCTCAAAATTCAAAAGTAAAGGATTCTTGAGTTGTCAAGGTCACACCCAGACTATGGAACAAAAGAACTGGTCCAGCTTCTTGGCCTTTCCAGGAAATCCATCTCTGCCACTGTCACCTGTTCTGTCAGAGTTCTTCAGGTATTCAACTCAGTTGTCGAGGAAGAGTGCATGGTAAATATGGGGGGCATATCTCTGCTAGCCCCTCACCACCCCACAGCCCAGTCATCTGGCCCCACATTTCCCCAATCATTATTCAGGACACAGCATCAAAGACAGAGTTGGAACTCTATTCCAACTTCAAAGTAGGCTTTATAGAAGCTTCTGTTTTAGTCCCCATTAAAATTTTTTTCAAATATTTTATTTTATATAATTCTTACATCACTTTTCATCTTTGTACAATGTATGCATTTTCATTTTGGTTATATTCCCCATACAATTGCACCCCCCACCCTTATTTTGACTCTAGTTCTTCTTCTCCCGCCCCTACCTAATCCCCCCCCCCCCCCCCCATAGTGTGTCTCTGGTTTATAGTTGCTTGATGATTTTGATTATTACTTTGCATTGATTAGTCTTTTTCCTGGTCTCTTATTTAGGTTTTCTAAATTCCTGCTATGAGTGAGACCATCTGGTATTTTTCTTTTTCTTTCTGACTTATTTCGCTGAGCATGATCCCTTCCAGCTCCATCCATGCTGCTGCAAACTGCATGTGTTTATCTTTTTTGATTGCTGAGTAATATTCCATTGTGTATATGTACCATTAAAATTTTAAAAAAGTGGGAAACCTAGGTGACAAGGCACAGGGGTAAAAAAGGGGGGCCTGGGGCCATGCTAACTTTTAAACTCAAGAACCAAAAGATAAGCAAAGATTGGGCAAATAATGGTCTGGACAATTTTCATAGCTATCTTCTACTGAGCACTGACAATATATGAGGAGCTAACCAAGGAGCTTTTACACACTTTCTATCTCTATTTCTTCAACCAGACCTACGACGTATACGTGACTTTCTCTATTTAAATAACCAGGAAATAGGACTGCACAATGACCAGCAGGCTTTATAGAACTCTATAAAGGCTTATAAAGGCTGCTAAAATGATCTGTCATCAGACCATTAGTGATTAAATCTGGGATTCAAATGACTCCAGTGCCTATGTTCATCCCACAGCACAGAACTGCCTGACCCACTGCAGTGAAGATTCCAATTAATACCAATAAACCAGTAAGAATTAAAATAAGAGGAGTGAAGTTAAGCAGGGGTTGGAAGGCTACAAACAGGACCACCAGTAAGGAGCTCGTTAAACACATGGTTATTATGAAATGATAGTTATTATGAAGTGATGAAAGTTCTGCAGGATTAGCGCATAAATAAAGAGGATGAAGCCTCTTTAAAAATCCAAGCTCGAAGAATTCAAATTCATACATTCTATTTACTTCATAAAAATACTTTCCATCTTCAATTTTCCTTACATGGTTCTTTGAAAAACTCCTTTAGCGAGTTTTGTTTGTTTTCTACCTCTTTCTGCACGACACCCTGCTATCTGAATTTGCTCTCTCAGTTAGGTAGCAAACATTTGGCCCAATTAGACAGAGGTCAGAAACTAGAGGTCAAATCTAATCTTAAACAAAGCATGCTTCCCCAGTGTAAATACATGACAAGTTGAACGGAGAAAGTCAAAAGACCCAGAGCTCAAAGACCATTTTGGCTGTGTGACTTAGAGAAGTTCACTTCTCTGAAGCATTCTCATCTATTTCCCAGGTTGTTGGGAAGATTAAATGTGAAGCATAAAGTATGAGTGACAGAGGCACTGGTGGGATGGTGCATGAGCACAGCTGCTTTCTAGAAAGTAGCAGTGGGTGCAGGGCAAATAAATCCAGCTCCCCGAGCATCAGTTATTTCATTACCTTTTATTCCCATTCAAAAGGTAATCAGAGATGTTCCATAAGGTGAACCTATGTGTGTGACACCGCTAACAGATTAATTTAAAAAACAGACCAAGGTATCTGTATTTTTATGCCAGAAGAACTTTCGCCCAACTTAAGAATCTTGGCTTATTAGTCCCTTGTCAGATGTTTAATGTACAAATATTTTCTTCCATTCAGGAGGGCATCTTTTTGTTTTCAAGATAGTTCCTTTCATTATGAAGAATCTTTTTAGTTTGATGTAGTCCCATTTGTTTATTTTGACTTTTGTTTCCCTTATTGTTATAGCTGAGTCCCCAAAAACATCCCTGAAGCCAGTGCCACCGAGTGTTTTGTCTATATTTTTTTCCTCTAAGTTTTATAGCCTTACATCCAAGTCTTTGATCCATTTTTAATTAATTTTTTGTATGGTATGAAATGGTGATCTAGTTTCATTGTCTTGTATGGCTATCTGGTTTTCCCAGCACCATTTGCTGAATATATTTTCCTTTCTCCATGGTAAACTCTTGGCTCCACAGATTAACTGTCCACGTAAACGCTTATTTCTGTGCTCATCTATTTCATTGATCTGTGCATCTATTTTCAGTCCAGTCCCATACTGTTTTGACTACTATAGTTTTGTAGCACCACTTGAAGTCTGGTTGTGTGACACCTCTACTCTTCTTTTCTGTCAGGATTGTTTTGGCTATTCAACATGTTCTCTATGAATTTCTATAGTGTTTGTTCTAATCTTTTAAAGAACGTCACTGGAACTTTGAGAGGCTTGCATTGAATCTGTATAACACTTTGGGTAAGATGGCCACTTGAACAATGTTGATTCTTCCAATCCATGAGCAGGGACTCTCTTTACATTTCTTTGGGTCTTCTGTTTCTTTTTAATAATATCTTACATTTTTCACTATATACAGGTCCTTCACCTTCTTTGCTAAGTTTATTCCTAGGTATTTAGTTCTTTTTATATGACAGTAAATAGGACAGTTTTCTTGATTTCTCTCTCTTCCATTTCATTGTTTCCACATAGGAACACAACTGATCTTTGTACAGTGATTTTATAGCCTGCCACTTTACTGTACTGATCAGCTTCTAGCAGTTTTTTAGTGGAGTCTTTGTTCCTATTTAAGTTTTCAAAGGTTATGTGTATATATACATAAATATGCATTAAAAGAATCAAGGTGTTCATAGTGAACATCATTAGATGTGAGTTTATGGATGACTTTGATCAACCTCTTTCCATTATTTAAACTATCTTTTAAATTTCTTACAATGTGCATTTTTATAGGCAGGCCTCATGGAGGTTGTGGGGAAGGTATGATGCTATACTGTCAATAAGAAAATATATTTTTTAAATGAGTTTGGAGGTGGCACCAGCCGGCCTAGACTGAACCTTCACAGAGTCACACAGTGGCTAGAATTGATGTCTCTGAACTGTGATAACTGGTCTGAGAGCTCGAATATCACTGGCCGTTTCTTTAGCATCAGGTTCAATAGCCTGTGAGCTTCGGCCATTTCACTCATGCTGTGCTGTGATGAATTCTAATCATAGGACATCCCAAGAGGTCTCTCTCCATATGTAAAAGAAAATGGATTTTCAAGGGTCCATGCAACAAACTCTGGATACCCGCTACCGCCACCACAGGGCAGGCACACTGCACCCCGCACACCCGCAGTCAGAGCAGAGGACAGATCACAGGCTCTGGAGTCAGGCCGGAGTTAAGTCCTGACAACCTGTCGAATGGCAAGTGCTGCAGCTCCCAGGTCAGCATGATGGGAGCGCTCTCAGCAGCCAGCCGGACATGCAGAACCACAGTGTCTCGCCGGCACCTGATCTCTGTACATTGCAGGACAAGAAACCCGGCCAAGTCTGTGCACGCCAAGACCTCGAAGATCATTTGGAAAATCTTGCAACTAGGGCTGAGGGCTATGAAAATTAATAAATGTACATAATAAGTCTGGGTACATTCATCATCCCTTCTTTCCTTCAAGGTCCAATATAACAAGTAAAACATCACAACGTTTGCAAGGATGTCTGGTCTCTGTTAATTGCCAAAGTGGTTTTTTTTTTCCCCCCTCAAGGAATGAGGAATAGGGGTGATTTTTCTAAGAATTCAGCCTCTAAAATTTGTTATTTTTTTAGCAAGGAAAAAACCTGCTCAGTGTAAAGTATAATTTCAGTTCCATTTCATCAGCCACTGTGAAAACGGTAGGGAAGGAAGGTCTGAGGTTCCAAAAGCAGAAATTTGTCTATTCTTCCAGTGCACCATCACTGAAACCAAATTACTTCAATTATTCTTATTGTTAACCAAAGCTTTATTGAAAATAAGGCATGGGATATGAATCTTAGGAATCAAATACTTTTGAATTGGATTTAACTTCTAACTTTTACCTTATAACCAAAAACAACTTGGCAGGAGGTGGTGGGAAGGGAGAGCTTACAACAGCATGGACTTACTCAGATGAAGGAATTTTACTGACTCGTTGAGTTAATAGTAGTAAGTACACAGTGAATAGGGAAACGCGAAACAGGAGAAGAACATGTTAATTAAAAACACAGAATCAAAATTAGCAAGAGAGTAAAGATCAAGGGGGTGACCAGCAGGAGTCCTTGCAATACATCTGGAGGGTGGGAGTAAAGAGCTAAGGAAGAAGAAATCATCAATGCCAGGACTAAAGAAGTCAGGTGAGGGGAGGGATGAGGTGACAGGTGAAAGCACAGGCTTAGGAGCACCACTGGCCCTGGGGTCAAATCCTACCTCTATCACTATCACTTGCGTGACCCTGAGTAAGTTATGTGATCTCTTGGCAGTACAAGGATATTAATGCCTACTTCACGGTGTGGTTGTCTAGATTAACTGAGATAATCCATGGAGAGGACTTGGCACAGGACTTGGCACACAGTATGCATTTGGTAAATGCCAGCTGTCACTATTAGCAATTACTACATTTAAATCCTGGCCCTGCCACTTGCTATGTGACCATGAAGGCACACACCCTTGCTGAGCCTGAAAAGCCCCACAATACAAGGAGGTGATAATCGCCTCCCCCGCAGGGTTGTGAAGACTCCCTGAGAAGATCCACACATCCTGCACAGTCTATACTGGCAATTAACTCGGCACTCCTAGCAGGGCAGATACCTGTCATCACTGTCGTTATGGTACTAAGGAAGGGGCTAAAGAGGCACCCAGAGCTGAAGGAGAATTTCCTATAATTAGACTGAGCTCATTCTAGTCCCCAAAACCACTCGGTTTTCCTTTCAGCTGCTAAGGCCTGACCTCACCGGAATGAGGATCAAAGAGACAGTCACTCAACCAAAGTGAGCACTTACCTGGAATTTCTGGGCCTGTGCTTTCTGCGGGGCCTCGCTGGCTTTAGCAAAGGCAGCATTGAGCTCTTTGACTTCAGAGTTAAGTTCTTCCACCTGGGCAAAGGTAAGGACTCTCAGACAAGGGCACAGCTGGGCCCGCCCCTCTGCACAGCCCCACTGCTTTTCCTGCTGCATTGTGTTATGCTTAGAATCAAGGGCTTTGTACTCAGAAAAAAACCCAAAGTTGGAAAAATGGAATTTCTAATTTGGCTATTTAGAAGCTAGATGACTACAGGCAGGGTACTTAATCTCTTTGAGACTCAATTCCTTCAATTCTAAAATGAGGATGCCAGCACTCCCCAACACAGCATTAGAGGTTAGTGAGGGCATGTGTACTGGTGCTAAACAGGATGCCTAGCTCCTCCAAAGTGCTACTATTACTGCCCATGCAGACAATTCACCCAACAAACTGGCAGGGCCATCCCCAGAACCTCTCACCGTCTGGTGACCCCGTCTGTAGGGTAAAGAAAATATCAGGCTTTTCTGCCCTTCCGCCATCAGGATAGATGATGGATCCTTGTCCTGAATGCATGCCTGATGGCGGACACCTGGAATAGGTAGATGGGATTCAGCTGAGCTAAGACTGTGCTTTTAAGGGCGGCGTCACGGGGACGCCAGTAGCAGCAGCAGAAGCCGAAGCTGAAAGAGAAGCCGAGAAGCAGCAGAACGAACGCCAGAGAGCCCAGATAGAGTAAAGACTTGCTGGGGGCTGGGATGTCTGCCAGCGTCCCAGCCCCCCAGCCAGCACCCCTGCCTGCCATATGCCTGGTGAACCCCAATAAAAGACCTGCAAAAACCCACTAAGGACTCTGACTCCTTTACCCGGTCTGCATGGGATCAGAAAACCTGCACTGTGGCCAGTCCTGCCCTTTACAATTGGCGTAAGTCGGCAAGATCCATGCAGATGGGTATTGGAGCCCTCCGAAGACCTGGAGGGACTAAGGAGAACAGACTGTTTGCCTGTGATGACACTGGAGGCGCCATGGCGGCACAGAAGGTGGACAACGTCCACGAGCTACAGGACGAGACCTGGCGTGAAGGAGACGCCAGAGAGAACCAGCCAACGACACCGGAAAGGACCAGCCAACGACACGGAAAGGACCAGCCAACGACACCGGAAAGGACCAGCCAATGACCCCTGAGGCAGCAGGCCGTTGCTGAAGCAGGGAGAGGCCAATGGACTTGAACTGATGGACTGATGGACTGACAATCCCGCCAGAAGGCGGAGGACCTTGCAGGTTGATATGTTTTGGGACCCTGGGGGTGGAATAGTTTTGTCTGTAAACCCCAGGAGATGGGAATCTGGGGGTGGCCAGTGGGCCTAGATGGCCAAAAGCAGCCTGTTATGCCCAGCAGCCAGGTGGAGGAGAAAAGCCAACTAAGAAGGCAAAAGCTGGTACTGATGCTAGGTTGAGAAGCCCTAAGCGGCTGTTAAGCAGCCTTAGTATGCTGAAGCCCTGTGAGTCTCGTAAAATCACCTGTGGGCGATGCCCTGCTCATTCTTGAGTGAGGGTGAGGAGCTGAGGAACCTGTCCTTGGGGGACGGGTGGGGAATGTGGCTTGGGGTGGAGCCCAAGCCGAATGCAGAGTTTGGATCCCCGACCCATGTGATTGTGCAGTGGGTTGGCTTGAGTGCAGGGGTCTGTGAGTCGCACTGGTGGCTATGAAGGCCGAGTGTTGGAGCGACTGCAGACAGAAACCCTGAGGGTTGGCGGTTACCCCCAACAGAATAAAATTGCCAATCCCAGAGCTAGTGCATGCTGGGGGTGGGTGCTGTGTGTGCCTTGTAGCCGAGACTACAGCCAGAGAAGGCCAGGAAGCCTGACGGCTCCTGGTGTGATATAGTAGATGCCGTGAGTGATTCCCCTCCCTCATATGAGCAGTGTCTTCGCCAGCAGATTTGGTGGCTCATCTGCTAGTACCAATAATTGTCTTTTGCACTAGGTTGGTGCCCTGCCTGGACTTATTTGTGTTCTGTTGTATTTTGTTATATTGTATTTTGTTATATTTGATGTATTTGCTTTTGTGGGCCGTGGCTGCATTGTTTGTTTGCTTAGAAAATTGTATATATAAGTATAGACTGTATGGCAGAAAACCCTGAGGGGGTGGACTGTAGGGGAAAGAAAATATCAGGCTTTTCTGCCCTTCCGCCATCAGGATAGATGATGGATCCTTGTCCTGAATGCATGCCTGATGGCGGACACCTGGAATAGGTAGATGGGATTCAGCTTAGCTAAGACTGTGCTTTTAAGGGTGGCGTCACGGTGACGCCAGTAGCAGCAGCAGCAGCAGCAGCAGTAGAAGCCGAAGCTGAAAGAGAAGCCGAGAAGCAGAACGAACGCCAGAGAGCCCAGATAGAGTAAAGACTTGCTGAGGGCTGGGAGGTCTGCCAGCCTCCCAGCCCCGCAGCCAGCACCCCTGCCTGCCATATGCCTGGTGAACCCCAATAAAAGACCTGCAAAAACCCACTAAGGACTGACTCCTTTACCCGGTCTCCATGGGATCAGAAAACCTGCACTGTGGCCAGTCCTGCCCTTTACACCGTCCTATACCCCAGCTAAGCTAGGACCACTGTGGCCACACCCTGAATGCTGCCAGCACCCAGAATGGGTCCACTGGAGTCACTACATATGGGAGGTCTCCAGCCTCAGTCTGGTCCTGAGCTCCCAGCGCACATACAAATGGTAGCTTCTGTGTGATGAACCAAATCTCTGCTGCACCTGGCAACACAGCACTCAAACCCTCGCCCTCCCTTCGCTCCTTCAACACCCAGTTTCTCATTTAGGGCCATACTTTTCACAGGCATTCCTTCTGTTTCCTTTGTACTTTTTTCTTCCTGTCCCTGAAATTCTGATGGCCCCTGTGCTCCCAGCCTCAGTCTTACTTCCCCTCTACACTTGGATGAGGAGATCGACTCCACCCCTCAAGGTGCTGGAGACACCACCACATTCCCAGTCATGCCAGCCAGACACCCAGACATCATTCTCACCCACGCCTCTCAAGGTGTCCATCTAATTATCTAATTGCCCAAACAATTCTAATTTTCAGTCATTTTTTATTACTTCTAATTTTATTTCTTGAATAAGCTCTGCCCCTCCATTCTCCATTGCTGTACCAGTTCTAATGCAGCCACTGGCTCTTGCCTCCATTCCCTGCCCCTCAACAACCCACTCTCTGTAGCACACCCCTCCGTCTTAAAAGCTTTTGGTGGGAGCCATCCAATAGCTAGACAGTCCCTTCACCATCCATGGGACCCTAGCAACCTCTCCAGCTTCTCTCACCTCACTTAAGCTCTGTACACAATGCTCTGACAACTTCAGCCTGTATTTGCTTCCACAAACACTTATGGGCTCTTCCCTAAACTGAATGCCTTAACCCAAATCCTCCCCGAGTGAAAAATCCTCCCCTCTTCATAAAACGGCCTCCTCATCTCTGCCTCCCTCCCCTGTGACTCCTACTCACCCTTAAAAATTCAGCTAAGACAGCTTCTCTTCTAAGTACCAATCCTTGCTCCCCACATACTCACCCTAATCTAGATTGGGCCTCCTTTCCCTCCACTTCCAATGCCCCCTGGACTTCCCTCAGTCCACACACCTGGGCTTTCCTCCCTGACTCCAAGCCTCACTGTTAGAGTCACAACAGATAGTTGTACCTCTGACAAGAACGCAGGGAACCCTCACCCTTGGAGCCAAAGGCAACAATGCAGGGAGTCATCAAACCGGTCCACAGTCAGGGCCTCTTCTCCCCAAACGCTTCATCTCAATTTTCTATTGTCTTTCAAAAGACTAGACCCGCACTATCTGGAATGGCGGCCACTAGCCATGTAGCCACCAGGCATTTGACAACGTGCTTAGTCTGATGATGATGTGCTGTAAGCACAGCTGAAATTCAGAGACAAAGTTAGGGTTTGGTTTTGTTTTAATGATAAATACCTCAGTATTTCTTTTGTCTTACTGATCACTTGGAAATGGCAACATTTAGCACATATATACGATTAAAATTAATTTCATTTAATTTCTTTTTACTTCTAATGCGGCCACTAGAAAATTTTAAATTGCATATGTAACTCCTATTTTTATTGAACAGCACTGGATCAGACACTCCAAAAGAATTTCCAATCAGTGAAAGGACCCTTTCCCCCACTGTCTATACTCATCTCGGCTCTCTCATAAATTTTTCACTAAAGCTGAAAATTCAGGGTAGAACAGGCCAATCACAGAAGTTAATAAAGAAAAATCTCACTTCAGGTCTATCAGACATACCTCCTTTTCCTTTGACTTTAATGCCATGGTTAGACCCTGAATGGCTTTATCTCTTTTTAAACTATTTTTCTTTTCTGTAGCAATTTCTCTTTCCTTCTCTCTCAGGTCCTCCTGAAGGGCCTAAATTAGATTAGAAAAAGATTCACTAAGTTGATGCGTTCCAACCAAAATGCACTGTAAATATATCTTTAAGAGCACACTCAAATGCAGTTATTCTATCTTATTCCTGTCAACCTGTGATTAATGTTTCCAAGTAGAGCTGAACGTAGAGGCATCAGCTCCAAGTTACTGTGTTACCGCTCACGGCAACGGGGCTGGGTGAAAGGAAGGGGATCAGATCAGTTAAGACGATGACAGCTATTCCTATGGGAAGGACTCCAGTGCCTTCTAGAATTTGAATACAGTCACATCAGACTCTGAAACCGTACCAGGTTATTTGGGGGAAATAACAGATCATTTATTTCATTTCTTAATGCTACAAAAGCTAGCAGAGAATTTGGTTTGATGGAACCTGATCATATACATTTAGAGTCTGAGTTCATTTCCAAAGATAATCACTGCCACCACCCCCTCAGGCTGTTGTGAGGATCACACAACATAATAGAGGTGAAGGCACTTTCAATAGAAACTGGCAGGCACTAAACAAATGCCCTCTGCTCTGACTGGGGGACCACAGTGTAGCGGCTCAGGAATGAGACTAGAGGCCTAAAATCCTCGTGTACCTCTTCCAAGCCACATGATCTTGGCAAAGGGACTCACTTTTCTGAGACTCACATGCCACATCTGCAAAATGGCAATGCCTACTTCACAGTTATTGCAAAGACTGAGAAATCCACTACAATGCCTGAAGTTTGACTGGCTCATTGTCACATTCAATGAATGACAGCTATTGTCACACAGAACTATCTACTGCTCTCAGAATAAAGCAAGAAGCAAGGATGATTCCTCAATAAATCTGAAATTGTATCAACATACCTGGATCCTCTCTTCAAAGCGATTTCTCTCCTTCTGGCATTCCTTGTGCGTGACCTAGAAAAAGGCATTCATTGGTGCCCAGAAGGGATCCACAACCCAATAGTTTCCCAGGACAACAGAGTGAACATCTCATTTACTTATTTTTCCCTGCCACTATGGAGCTCATGGAGACAGTGTTCACTCTTTCTCTCTCACCCAGAGCCCCACCCAAGTAGTGAAAAACATATAGACAAGCAGCTCACGCTCCTGCCTCAACAGCCTCCAAGAGAACAAGCCACGCTGAATATGGGAAAGGCATTCTAAAGGACAGGGCCCCAGAAGTGAGAAAGCGGGGTCAAAGGAGGGGCTAAAGAATTCACCGCCATGGGAGAGACCAAGACCCTGCTCTATAAAAAAAACCCAGGTGCTCCTGAGCACCCAGTGCCTCCCCACGTGCAAATATACCGCACAAGAAGTGAAAGGTCTCAACTAGGTCTACCTGCTTTTCCAGGTCCCACCCCACCCCCATTTCAAAGTAGTTGGCCTAGTGTGGAGGGGGGTCCAGGGAGGCATGGGTCTGGCATGAGTTATCCACCTCCAGGAGCGTGTATCTAAACTCAACACAAGGACCATGCCCTTTACCTTGCAAGGTGGCCGGGATTAAATGAGGTGGTATGCTGACGCCCTTTGCAGGCAGTTGGGCCCAATAAAGATTAGTTCCCTTCTCCCACTGCCTCGGAAATTTCTCACCAAAATTGGCCTCAAGCCTGCTTCCAATCACACGAATAAATGAGTATGTCCCACAATTTTATCCTCAGAAAACCCAAATGGTGAAAATTAAGTTCCTAGACAATAACAAGTTAAGACATGGGAAGCAGAGACAAGCAGGTAGGGATTGTCTTTTCACCCAACTCTTTACATGAGCACAAGGTTGGAAAGAAATAAAACATCCCAGGTCCAGGCCTCCCCAGTGGTGCAGCGGTTGAGCGCTGGGCTGCGAAGCTGCCCACAGCCTCTGCAGTGCAGGTTCGATCCCCGGCCACCTGCGAGGGTTCCACATGGCGCACAGACCTCTCCTGTCACACTCGCTGCTCCCCTCAGCAGTGTATTTCTTCAGTCTGCCTGTTCTGTTCCCCGCTCTGGTGAATTCTCTCACTCTCCCGTGCTTCTGACTGTACTCAGTGCTTGTATAAATAAATAAATAAATCTTTAAAAAAAAAAAAAAAGCCAGGTCCCCACAAAGGAGGTCTGTGCTAATTCCTAGGCTGACAGGGAGCAAATGACAAGAAGCAGACTGTGTGGAAACTGCAGGGCTGAATGCGCACCCCACTCCCAGGGAGGAGTCTGGTCTGCTAATTAAAGCCCGCCTTCAATCCTGTCAGCTCACCTCAGCTTCTCTCTCCTTTTCTTCTCTCCAAGCAGCAGAAAGTCCTCGGAGCTCTCCAGATGACACATTCTCATCAGGAGATGCCATCTGAGATTTCTCCTCTTGAAGGCACTGAATTAAAGCTTCTTTGCTCTTCAAAGATAGCTTCAACTCCTCAATCAGTCTAAAAGAGAACAAAACGTAAATATTAATTTTAAGCTGTTCTCTTAGCTCAGTGGAGCAGGGGGAGGTAGGAAACAGGGCCAGTGTAGGGTAAGGTTAAAAAGTATCAGGTTTTTCTGCCCTCCGGCCATCAGGATAGATGACGGAACCCTGTGGTCCTGAATGCATGCCTGATGGCAGGCACTGGGAATAGGGTGTGGGCATATGTAGATGGGATTCACCTGGGCTAAGGCTAGGCTTTTTAGGGCGGCGTCACGGGGACGCCAACAGAAGCCGAGAGAAGCAGCAGCAGGAGAAGCAGGAGAGCAGACAATCAGAGAGAACACGAGAGAAGGCCAGAGAGCCCAGAACGAGTAAAGACTTGCTGGGGGCTGGGAAGCCTGCCAGCCTCCCGGGCCCCCGGCACCTCTGCCTGGTAAATCCCAATAAAAGCCTGCAAAAGCCACCGAGGATTCTCTAGGACTCCCTTTTTTTTTTTTTTTTTTTTTTTTTTGTGGGACCTTCGCCAGTGGCTGGGGAACGAATCGGCGCTGCAGAGGCTGCGGGCAGCCTCGCAGCCCAGCTCTCAACCGCTGCGCCACCAGGGGAGGCCCCTTTAGGACTCCTTCTTTACACGGTCTGCTGGATTAGAAAACTTGCACTGTGTTTCCCTGCCCCTACAACCACACATCTCCAAAGGAGACACCTTCAATGGCTGATGGAAACTGAATCGCACGTTGCAGGTTCGAGATTAAGGGCCACACACCACCTTCCCACCTCTGGCACTGGCCCTGTTTGATCCTCACTCTGAGACGCCAAAACTTTGATCAAGTAACATCCCTACTCAAAGACTTTCAGTGGTTCCCACCAGCCACATTATTAATTTTTTCTGGTCAAGAAATTCAGCATAAATCTATTAAACATAACCAACAGAGCAGAGCTGTTCCATGAGTGTGAAAAAAGTAAAGAACGTCCCTTCCTTTCTCCTCAGGACCAAGTTTAAAACACACTGACTTTCAAGAAAAGGCCAAACTTCTCAGCAAGGCATGCCAGACCCTAGCTTTTGGGGTCCAGAAGATCAGAGGTGGCTGCTGACAGCTTCAGCTTCAGCTCTCACAGGAAACCATCACCCTCACTTTCAGTTCTTTCCAGAAGCCAAGTTGTTCCGTGCCTCTACTGCTTTGCTCACACCATTTTCTCTTCCGAGAATGCCCTTCACAACTCTTCCACCTGTACCTGATATACACCCATTCATCCTGCCAGTCAGTCAGATTACCTTCCTCACGGAAGCTCTGCCAACCCACACCTGTGGGCTCTCATCAGATGGAGCTGACACATCCATCTCTGGGCCACCAAACTGCCCCATATCAACTGTTCCCTGACATGGCCAAGTCATTTTAACTCTAGAAACCTGCATTTCCTCAGCTACAAAATGGGGAGAGCTTGCTTATATGGAATGGAGGTGCATGTATCAAAATGGCCCTACAAACCTTTAAGCATACAGAAGAACTCAACAAATGACAGTTGTTTTAATTATTACTTTATTTTAAGCATTAGGCAGTTAGCATTTTGTCAGACATAGCGGACCCCTCAGAAGTGCCTTTCTATAACTTCGAAAGCAACTTAGTATAGTAGAAAGAGTAGAAAGAGCAAAGGCTTAGAAGTCTGAGAGTTTCCCCAGCTGAATATCTGCTCTCTTCCACCCCAGATTCATATGTTGGGGTCCTAACCCCAAGGCTAATGGCATTAGGAAGCAGAGTATTTGCAAGGTGATTTGGTCATGAGAGTGAAACCCATGAAAGGGAGCAATGCCTCATAAATGAGGCCCCAGGGAGATCTCTCACCCCCTCCACCACATGAGGATACAGGGAGAAGTCTGACTGGGAAGAGGGCCCTCACCCAACCTCATCTCAGACTTCCAGCCTCTACAACGGTGAGAAATGAAATAAATTTCTATTGTTTCTAAGCCACCCAGTCTATGGTAAGTTTGCAATGGCACCCCGAATGGAATAAGACAAGTGGATACAGAGAGTACCCCGGCAACACCAATGCAATGCCCTCAAAACTTGGAACGAGGAGTAAGACTGCCCTCTAGGGGTTAAATTCTGAAATCGTCACATAATCAATTGGAGAAGTAAAAATTTAAGTTTCCTGACTTATCCTGAGATCAATCCCTAAGCTTCGGTTTTCTAGATCACAGTTAAGAAAAGGTTGCAACCGGAAAAATAAACGCTAGCTTCTCCAACTGCGGAAGCTAGGTCACTGAAATAGGGAGGCAAGGGGCTCTCCCTCAGTCTGTTCACTCCTCGTTTACAAATGACCCTAGAATGTTGGCTCATCTGATTTCCAGATCCATAGTGAAAACAAGTAGCAGACGCAAATTTCAAAAGGTAGTATGGAGACAGAAATAAAAGCAAACCGCTGGTGGGGAGCCAGGGCAACTGGGCAGAGTAACCTAAACAACACGGTGGGCCGTCAAAGGGGCACACTGAGCAGGAAGAGAAACCCAGTCAGCAACCTCTATTTTTGCTTTAAAACAATTTCTGTCAAATTCCAGAAGTTTGGCTCTTCAATGGATAGGTCATAGGTTAACCAGAGATTTCACTTACATTAATCATTCAGCCTCCCACTCAGTGACTGCCATAGCAAGGCAAAAGTAGTAAACTGTAAGGTTTATAGGAAAAAACAAAACTTCAACTGTCTCCTGAGCGGCTTTAATCAAAAGTTTGGTTTTAAGATAGGATGAGCACTAAAGAGATCACACAGCCCATCCATTTCTCTGGATTAACTAGCTCACAGTTCATTCCCGGACACCCAACAGCTCTCTATGTGGCCTATAAATACTGTGCTAATACAGTCTTGGCCCCTTGCACTCTACTAATTTAGGCCCTTGGCGTAAGAGATGTGAAGGACAAACTCACTAGTATTTACTGTAGGGAAGCAGTCCCCCACGGTTACCTTTGGGAAGATCCACAAGAGAAATTTCTCTGAGAGTGTCAATGCCTCCTGTTACTAGCTCGTTTGATCTTGTGAGTAATGTGAATCTTCATGCTCACCAAGACTGCTTTTCCCTTGCTCCCTTGCTAACCAGGAAGTTAACAGCCAAAACTGAATGCTAAGTTTAGTATCTGAGTAGAATTTTTTGAGTGTGATTTTCTATCTGTTCTCTCCTCCTCATATCACTACCCCTTCCCTTTTCCTTTCAGTTTGATTTTATCCCTACTTTCCTGACTGGGCGGGGGACAAGTAGCGGAGGGAAGGAAATGGGAAGGAAGGGAACAACTCTCTCCCCTGCCTCCAGGGAAGAATGTCAGAGGACCACAGGCATGTGAGCCAGACCTGTCCTTCTCTTCCAGGACCGCAGCCATCTCCAGGTCCCCCTCATGCATCTTCTTCATCTCCGAAAGCTTGTTTTCCAAGCTCAACCGAAGAGCCATCTCCGTTTCTGTCCCCGCAAAGGCCTTTTCCAGTTCAGCTTGGGCGGCTTTCACATCCTAGAGTGAAATTAAATGCATTTGATGCAATTTTTCAATACAATTGGGAACATTTTAAAAGGAAATTGGATTAAAATATAAATATTTATGACTTTTTCTCCAGTACATTTCCCCTCCCTGAATTGTACTATACATGGGGAGAATCAGTAATAAATACATTTGCCAGCCATTTTCCCCTCTTGTATCCTGAAGAGTAATAGGCATTTCCAATGGAAAAGACTCAACTCTACAAGAACTGTATTTTGGTTTTGAAAAATCAGATCAATATTTACAGCTTCAATGAGAACAAGGAGAAATGTGCCTCTCAAAACCCAAACATACATAAATTCCAAAGAGTCACCATAATCTCCATATAAATTCATCCCACACCCCACTACTCCCTCACTATTTTTGTAAGATAATGACTATACCATTCTAAAGAACATTTTCTATTTCTCCGAGGTGATTTAGGTGGTAAAAATTCTATGTTCTTCTTGAGAGCTCAAAAAAGTCAGCAAGGAAATTATCTAAATCACGGCGGCAATGTCTGTTAGAGAAAAAGGCCTAGTGATCACAAAACTAACCTAGGAGTAGATGGGAGTCGCCAACTACTTGCGCCAACTCCCAAAACTTAAAGTCATATCAAGCTATGTTCAAAACCCCGCCCTCCCACTTATTCACTTGGGGAGGAAAACTTTTTAACATCTAGGTGAAAGGACATTTTAACCAAGAAATATTCTGACTCCCATCATAGTCACAGGATGTACCTTAATGGGACCAAGTAGCAGGAAGAGCTACACCCAGTGCCTCCTTAGAAAAAGCATTCAGTGAATGAGGGTGGAAAGGTGGGATGGAGGGATGATGGGGCTGAGGGACAGAGGGGTAGAGGGAGAGAGAATGGGAGAATCAAGGGGTGGAGGAATGGTGGGATGGAGCGATGGAGGGGTGAAGGGATGGGAGGATGGAAGGGTGGAGGGGTGGAGGGGTAGAGAGATGGAGGAGGGTGGGGTAGTGGGGTGGAGGGGTAGAGGGATGGAGGGATAAGAGGGGTGGAGGGGTGATGGGGTAGAGAGATGGAGGGTAGAGAGATGGAGGGGTGGAGGGTGGAGGGATAGAGGGATAAAGGGGTAGAGGGAAGGAGGGGTGGAGGGGTAGAAGGATAGAGGGATGGAGGGATGGAACAATGGTCACGAAATCTGGCTCTAGGCTTAGCTAATATTAGGTAAGTCACTTATCCTCACTGGGTCTCAGTTTCCTTCTCTATAAAATAAGGAGGTAACCAAGGTAATAAGGAGAGTGGTATTATAGCAAGAACAAAAGCTTTAAAATCAGCAGTTAGAAGTTTTAACCAAGGATAAAACTTGAACTAGTTAGTCTTTCTCTCCTAGTGTCCTCGTCGGCGGGAACAAAAACAACACTGGCCAGTCTGCAGGGGTTAAGGTGTGAATCAAGCAAGTGAAGTGCCCAGGACACAGCTGCAGGACCCGGGCAATGGTCAATGGGGTGGTTCTTGTTTCTGGTAAAAGTGACAGTTTATAAAAAAGGAACAATCGTCTGCCCACTCCAGTATTAACCGACTGTAAGAAAAATACATTCTCCTCTGGATTTCCATACTTGCCTCTTCTAAAAGGAATATTCTTTTGTTAAGCACATCTTCAACCTGCTGCACCTTCTTCTGCGCATCTTCTTTCACCCGCTGGATCTCAGAGCCTCCCCCTACAGTGAGGCTCTCAACGGCTTTGCTGCAAAAAGACGCAAACGTGTGAAATGCATACAAGGAACAGATGGTGATTTCAATAGCCCCAAAGAGACAAGGAATATGTGTTAGTCGTTTCTCCCACAGAGCCGTGCTGAGCTTCTTTTTGTTAATTAATATTTGTAATTTAAAACAGAGAGTGTAATATATAAATGCATCAAATCAACATGCTATACATCTTAAACTTACACAATGTTCTATGTCAATTATATGTATATATGTATAATTAAAAAGCCTAGATAAGAAAAAAATAAGAATCTTCTATAATCGCATCACTCAGAACTCATTAACAATTTAGTATATAGTTTTTCAGAAGCTTTCTACAAAAAGCAAACCACACAGTACAAATCTATTACGTGATTTTAGTACTTACCATACTATAAACATCCTTTTGTGTCAATAAATACAAATCTCTATCATTTTTAAAGGCTACTGATTAAGTCACTATAGGAAAGGTACTGTTATACATTAAATCAATCCCCTATTTTTAAAACATTTCATTGTTTCTGACCTTAACATTTGTGTGATACTCACAAAGTTCTGAGAACAGCACCTGATACAAAGTTAATATACAATAAATGTTAGTGCTACTGCTTATTACCACAAGCAGGTTATGATAATAGCATCCCATACATATACCAACCCGTGACTTCCTTAGGATCAATTCCTAGAAAGGGAAAGAGATGAGCACAGTCTTAAGACTTTTGATAACTTGCCAAATTTCCCAGCAGGAATCTTGCACAGAGCACACTCCGCCAGTGGCAGGAGCATGTGCCAGCCCATGTGCAAGATGCTGTCAGCGTCACCTTCAGCCACAGGAGAGTCGGACAAGTGGGTCATGCACTGGCTACTACTTAGGGCCTGAGGAGCAAAAGTACGCCTGCAGCCACACTCCATATTCCTCCCACGCAGCGGGCAATCACAGAGCCCACACCACTAGGCATCCTCCCTGCTTGGAGACCAGTGGCGAGAACAGCACACCCAAAGCAGACACGGGACCATGACCACAGATGCCTCATTCTGATTCTCCCCAAAAGAAAACCAGTGTCATATAGGAATGTGTGAGACATGTATAGCGGTTCTCATCAGATTTCTAAAATGATAGAGGGTTTCTAAAAGGCAGAATAATAAAGGAAATGGCTCCACCTAAAGCTGGTTTCTCAGAGAAACTGCAATGGAACAACCCTATTCACCAGCCCCCCAGCCTGTCTTCAGGGGTGAAGAAAATGTTCTCAATGAAGAGCCACGCAATCTGACACTCAGACGCTCACATGCACAGACCATGTGAGTTTGTAACTGAGAACAACAGAAAGTCAAGAGGGTCACACTTGCTGTCCAAGCCTCAAACATGAGTTGCCTGCAAATAAAGACTTTATTCATATGTATTTTCCTCTCACCAAAAAGCTTTCTGAAGGCCCCAGCATCATGATGTCATTTTAATGGAATTCACTGTGAACAACCGGAGAGAAAGATCAAGGGCTCTGAAGCTGAACAGAGGTCCTTCCAAACTCCACCTCTATTATGTCTGCAGTGTGACTCTGGGTAAACTACCCCTTACACCTGAGTTTCCTCATTTGAAAAATGAGATGAGACCTCTTGAAATGAGTGTACTGACACTCGTGGGGCCGCAGCAGGCGCCCCTTCCTCGGGATATGAGCCCTGCAGGCCAGCCCGTTGCCTGAGGCCACCCCGCAGGCCCCGCTGGGCGCTGCCTCTTTCCACCCTGGCCGGCCTGAGAACAGATTACCACTGGGTGCACTCAGGCCACCAGAGCTACTTCCTGATTATTGCCAAGAAACGTCCCAGCCCCTACTCCCTTGGCTCGTTCTCCACCAGAATGGTCTGGAACTCACAGTGATTCACAATGATTACACCACTCAAGAGGCATTATATCTGACTGAAAGAATTCTGGACTGGAGAGGCGCTTCCTCCCTAAGCGATGGCCACAGAAGTTTCCTAGCCCTAACCACTAACCACACACACACGCTTCAGCCGGCAAGCTTTGGAGAGTCACCTCCAGCACAGGCTCACTCTCCAACCCCACCCTCACCCTCCACCCACCCTTACCCCTCCATTCCCCAGTGACTACAAGCAGCCTCCCTCCTACCAACCCAGACCCACCATTTGTGTTTTATAGTCAGAGTCATATACACTGGCAAGACGCTGACCAATTTTTAACAAGTACTAGTTTATTCGGTTTTGTTTGTGTTTTCGTTATACCAATAAAATATTTTCCCAGTAATAAATGTTCCAACTTTTCATTTATCATCTTTGTATTTTACAGTTACTGTAGCAATAAAATTTATACTCAGCAGTATGGTGCAATTTTCCTCTACTAATGGAATTATTATTTTTGCTTGTGCTTTAAAGCTACAGAGATAAAATTCACTCCCGACAGTATGTCTGCTTTTGTTTTTAATGTCCCCTGATTGTAACCGAAGGATGTCACAATGGAGAGCCGGCAAACACAGACACTCACTCAGAGGGGCCCCATTGCCAGACCAGTCCCAGTTCTGTCACTGGCGAGGGCAAGCCCCCCAATCATCTGAGCCTCAGTTTTCTTTTTACTCAGATGAGTACTGGCTGCCTCACATAACTATTGTAAAGTCAAATGCAATAAAGCACATCACTGCCAAGCATTGGTCCAACATTTGGGCCAAAGCAGGATCTCAACAAATGTTATTCCCTCTGCCTACCCTTCCTATCCTTACAGAACCTGGGCCAACAGATGAGATAGAGAGTAAGACATAAGGAGAGGAAAGGTCGAGAGAAGTTCCAGCTCTCCACCCAGCATAAGAGAGAACCCTCCACACGCACCACGCTAACTACCCTTTATAACCATCTACATTTCCCCTGGATTCCAATTACAGACTTTTAGGGGGAAAGAGGGGTTTTCCTAAGACAAGTTGCCTATCTCCTCCCCATCCCCCCCAAAAAAAACAACTGTAAAACTGAAAGGGGGAATTGAGAGCATTAGTAAAGATATTCTTCCATCAACAAGCACCCACTCACTCTGTCGGGCACTGGGCAGTGAGGGGAAGAAGGAGACGCGGGGTAGACACTGAGTAATGCCATGGCAGGCCATCTGCACAGAGACTACGCAGCAACAGCTAAGGAACCAAGGTTCATGGTCAAAGTCCTACCTACAGGCAAAGCCAACCCAGAGCCCCTGCCCTGTCCACAGCACCACAGTCCAGTAAAGGAGGAGGATAGGCCCTGGGCCTAGAAGATGGAGAGTCATGTTAGATACAAGTCATCCTGTGGAAACAGAACATGAAATGGAGCATTGGGCTAGAAGGCAGGGGCTTAGTCCTGATCCCATCTGAACTCTCTGGCTCAGTGGTTTAGTCATGACCCTCCCCTTCTCCAGGCTGAAATTCCCCCTCTAGAAACTGAGGGCTTCCTCAAGACTTGCCTAGCTCCTGGGATAATGGCGGACACATGTGGATGTAAAGCCATAAAACAATATGCACATAAGAACTGTCATTATATGCCAGAGAAACTTGTGAAGAGACTGAAACATGGGCTACAGTCCTTTATGCAGCGTAGGCAACAGGAAAGGCACGCAGGTTGGGCAGGCAGGGGAGACAGCAGAGGTCTGCCTGCTAATCAGCAGGAACAGAACAGTTTTAGCACTAGGGGTACCTCGGGGACAGTGTGGGTTCAGTACCAGGTGAACATCACAATAAAGAGAGTTGCATGGATTTTCTGGTTTCCCAGTTCACATGAAAGTTAGGTCTGCACTACCCTGTAGTCTATTAAGTGTGTAATAGCATTATGTTTACAAACACAATGCACCGACCTTAATTAAAAAATACTTCACGGCTAAAAAAATGTTAACCATGATATAAGTCTTCATCAAGTTTACTGGTGCAATTAAAAGAGTGACATCAAAGATCACAGATCACCATAGCAGATGTGACTATAATGAAAAGGTCAACAGTACTGTGAGAATCATCAAAGTGAGCACACGCTGCTGGAAAAGTGGCACAAAGTGTGCTTCTGGACACAGGGTTGCACAAGCCCTCAACCTATTAAACAAAAACCACAGTGTCTGTGAAACACAGTAAAACGAGGCCTGCCTGCCTCTGTGACCCTTGCTGGGATCAAGAGGGGTAGGCAGCTCCCTTCCCATCTGCTCCCAAGTCCCGCTGACTCTGTTTCCTCAATGTCTTTCCAAGCTCCTCACCCCCCTGCACCAATAACCTCTCACCAAAACTACCAACCTCCCTGTGACCACTTTTGTGCCCTCTACAAAGCAGTTTCCACTCAGCAGCCCTGAACTGCTTTCTGTTTGATGTTAGGATAAAGGTCTAAATCACCAGTCTGGCCTGAAGACCCTGCGAAGACAAGATTGACCACCCCCAACTTCTATTCTTCCAGACTGCCAACTCCCTCCCCACCCCCAACAGCTTTTTTCCACCCTTTCACTGGTCCATTTCTACTTGCTTCTCAGATTGCATCTCAAATGCTACCTCTGTGGAGCCATCTTCCCTACTATACATTATTATATTTACACACCACTACTGCTGCTTTTATTTTCTGAATGCTGCCTTTATTTTCCTCATAACTTTTGCCAATTTGTATTTATACATTTACTATTACAAGTATTTTACCACCATCACCCCTTCTAGAAAGCCCCCATGAGTCTGTCTGGATTACCAACTGAAAGAGAGCAGACACCAAAGATGCTTATGCAACATATAACTCCATTTCTGTAGAGCGGGCACTCCAAGAAATGACGATCACACGGTGAGAATAGTGGTTATCTTTGTGGGAGAAGGGTAAGTTCTGCAAGCACCAAAGAGACTTCTGGGGAGATGGTTTCTGAGCTGGAGGACGGCTCCAGACACAGGTGTGTGTGCTTAGTGGAAATGCACTCTGCTGTGCCTCAGGCTCTTTTCACTTTCCTGTAAGTATGTAACACCTACAAGTTTATTGAAAAGAGTTAAACTTCCAAAAAGCCCTTTGTGGGGTCCCCAGACCCCAGCTGGAGAAAAGCTGGCTTAGAAAGTATGAGGTTGCACTGCACTGGCTTCAGTGCCACCGTCAGAGGCAGAGCCATCTGCGAGCGAGACTGGAGGTGGGACTCACGAGGCTTTGATGAGCAGCTTCTCTCTGTCCTGGAGCTCCCGCTTCAGACTTTCTACCTCCACCTTGAGCTCGATGTTCTTCCAGGCAAGATGAGGAAAGAAAAGAAAGCGTGTCAGACACGGGATATATGAATGTCGACAGTGGGGAAGGGCTTTCACGCAGACTGCAAGAGCTGATCGGAACAGGCAGCTATTACATCCGAATCCTCATTAGCCTCGGGGAGTAGGGAGCAGGGAATTATTAAACACTGGTGGTCTCAATGCAAGCCCTGGATTTCTGAGACTTGGAACAATTATGTAAATTTTCCAAGCTTCTAACAGCCCGAGCATTCAAACATCGAGGCATAAATGTCATACAAGTGAGGCTGATTTAAAAATTGTTTGCCCTCCACCAAGCAAATTTACAAGCAATTCTGCAGTTTGCTTTTACCATTCCAAGGCAATTACTTCTGGTTGTTTACAATCATGCATGTGGTGGCTGTAGCAGTGGGAACGTGTTACAGCTTGCAAGAAATAAAGCATGCAGACGGGTAAGTGGGAGGCCACATCACCGCCTGTCTTGTTGATGTAAGATTTCTGGGTCTTCACTCACAAATGAGCCACAACCGCAAGGGACTAGCTGACTATAAGGGACACCACTGTGTTCTCCAACCAACAGTCTTCCTCTTATCAACTGCAATGAAGGAGTCACACATGGCCTTGGGCTTATAACATACGTGAGACTCCAAACAGAATCTTTGGCAAACAGACTGCAGTGTGAACCAGTGGGGCAGGGACGGGCTTCTCAAACCTGTGCACAAATGTATCCCAGATAGAATATTACAGAATTCATGTGGTAGAGACAGGGCTCTGCATATGTGGACTGCAGAGGACTGCTATCAATCCAAGATTTCTCTGAAACTTACTCCTGTTTTTTAATAATTCATGCCAATTTCACATGCCCCCCATAATACATGTGTATTATTTTAAATAACATTTCCAGTTACATTTACATTCTCCTTTGTGCCAGGAAGCCCTGGGGGAACATGTACCCAGGTTAAGAAGTCAGTCAAATGGAAATCATGAGCGTAGGACCAGAAGGACATGGGTTCAAATCCTGCTTCCCCCACTTCAGGGACATTTAGCAATGGCCTGTGACGGGCCAACTGTGGCCTAAGCAGCGCCTCACACAGGCCCTGCCCTTGTGCTAGCACGGAACACAGGCTAGAAGAGCAAGCCTGCAATTGCCTGCAAAGGCGCTCTTCTAGGTGAGGAAGCAGGGTTTCTCCTTTCAAATCCTTCAAGTATCAGATGAGAGACATTAAGCCCACCTGACAAGGGGGATATGAGGACAAAATGAGCTAATAAATGAGATGAGTCCAGGAGACAGGGTTCCACTGTGTTCTTTTCTTCACTTTCAACAACAGGAACTAAAGACATTGATACCGGAATTGTCAGGCCTAGTCTCCCAGCCAGGAATGGATTCCAGGCTGCAGGGCAGCGCTGAGCCCAGCCGCTAGACCCTTCTTTGGTTGTCCTTATCTCTGAAGCCTCCCTAAATTCTTCAGAGATCCCCTCCTGCACTGTCCCTAAAACTGCCTAATAACCCTAGCTTGCCCTGTCTCAACATCATCCATGAAGCAGAACTTTTTCTAGAAAAAGCTTATCTTTACATAAAGGACACTGAGTGAGAACACACAACGCCCTCCAGTGTGAAAACTGCAGAAACAGCCTTCAAGTAGGGCAATCCTTTCCCAGATCTGGGAAGGGCAGAGAGCTTCTATGTAAAGAGTTGCTATCATATAGTCTAAGTGCTTTGCTTTCTGATGAACCAACTGGCAACCCAACCTAGGAAATTTAAAAGACAAGACTGCTATTTTTCTTAAGACCAATGTACATAAGTTATAAACTAATAAAACTTAAGGTATAAATTTATATACATGGCAATCATTTCTAAATCAAAAATCAAAACATCTTATAAACCTAAAACAAAATTTAAAAAAATGAAGAACCATTGCCGCGGACCAGCACAGCAGTAGACGATGAGGCCACCTCAGGGTTGAGAGAAGCGTGCAGGGTGGTCAGGGCGTCGGTGAAAGAAATGACAAACAGACACACTTCAAGAGTGAAAATCTGAGTGTAATTTTCTTTGAGTTTGTGACCAGTATATATATGTTTTCCAAAAGCACAGGAATGAATATCAATGAAATTAGCTTGCTCATGGGCTCAGTCTATCACCATCAGGGAGGTGATCTACATAACAAGCAATGACCATTATAGAAGAAGGAAGTTTAGAAAGACCGAATAAGGGATTAAAGTTTGTAGTTCTAGAAAGACGGGATAAGATTTTTAGCATTCTTGTAGTGGTTTTTGGTGGTCGTTATCTTTTGATAAGCTTCTGCCTTTTCAGGGAACTTCCGCTGAACTTCCTCTGCTTCAGGCTGTTCTCTCCCCGCGCGCTGGTTGCCCAGCCGGATCTAGGGACCGTGGCGAAAGCCATTCCTAAGATCACTGTGGGGGGAGGTGCAGCAGGTAGGGTTTTGCTGTTCTTCCCCTGCGCGCTGGTTGCCCAGCTGGACCTAGGGCCGGTTAACCCTAAAGGTCACTGCAGGGGGAGGTGCAGCAAACCATTATTATGGGAAGATATCCAAGCTATCCTTTAGGGAAAGAAAGCAAAGTGCACAACAGAACATTCTTACAATTATGTGAACAGGAGGCTTAACACACACACATCCACTCACACATACTTGTTGGCACATATAAAGAGTTCTCTGTAGAAGGAATTAATAATAGTGGCTACATCCAGGGGAAGAGAAGACAAGGGTAGAAGAAATCTTTTCAGTGTAGGGGTCTCCCTGGTGGCGCAAGGGGTTAAGTCTCAGCACTATGATGCTATCCACAGCCACTGCAGCACTAGTTCAAACCCCGGCCAGGGAGGTGACCCACATGGTGCAGCAGACCTCTCCTGTCTCACCCGCTGCTCCCCTCAGCAGTGTATCTCAGTACATCTGCCTGTTCTGCTCTCCATTCTGTCTCTGGTGAATCCTCTCACCCACTACATCTCTGGCCTGTACCCCTATTCTTGTATGCACAAATAAATAACTCTTTATTTAAAAAAATCTTGTCAGCATATACCTTCTGTGCTTTTTCAATTTTGAGCCATGTACCCCTAATCCGAAAGCTTAAACTGAAATAAAAGTGCAGTGAAATCAAGTGATTTAATCAGACCACAGGAAACAGAGCAGTGCACTGAGGTCGGGAAAATTGGGCTCAAAATCTATCTCCATGGTAGTTATAGGCCATCAAGCAAGCAACTGGTCCTCCCCGAGCTTCAGCTTCCTCTCCTGAAAGATAAGACTAACCCCCGCTACACAGGGTAGGCCTGTGCAAATGGTCAGAGCCTAGGGGAGCAGACACTTGCCATGTCTGGGCTTCCTATCACCCTAGAAGTTCTGAGACACGTGAATACATTTCCATATAAAATATTTTAGGCTTTTCTTTAAAGTTTTGATTGTATCACTGCCCCCTTCCCAAAAGGGGGACATCCTCATAGCCTTCCCACCCCCACACAGAAGGAAAAAAAAACTGTCTTGAAGGACAAAAGGCTTTTCAACTCTTGAAAAAGCCCAGAAGTACAGTACGATCTCTCTTCAAGACTGGTCCATTTAAGTTCATCTGCTGAAACTCAAGGAGAGCTCTCTTCCTTCCTCCAAAAGTTTCCACTGGTGCAAACTTCTAAAGAGAAAAGATGGAATAATTCCCAGGCCCAGGGCTAATCTAGGCGAGAAAGCCAAGAAACAGGCACTGAAATACTGTCTGTACTCATGTCCTTTCAAGAAAGCTAAGTTCGTTTTTCAACTTAGAGAACCAAGATTTGTTTTCGGGCACAGACCTCCAGGTCAAGACATCAGCTGGAAGAGACTTTTTTTTTCTGACACTTATAAGCAAGCACACAAGGAATACAGACAAGGCACAGCACAGGAAAACTGACAATCCTAACTATAAAACTCTGGGCTGCCAGTGGAAGTCTCCTTAAGACAATGATGACAATTATGGAATACAGACTACATGCTGGGCCTTCTCATCTGTCATCTCATTTTAATCCACACAAAGAACCCTACAATGGAGGGGTTATCACTTAACTCTGGAAGCAATCCCAGAGAGCTGAGTGACCTGCCTATGGTTACACAAGTTAGTTGGTAACAGTAGGATTCAATTGCAAAGATATTCCATCATTTCCATGTCTTTGTCTACATGATAAATAATTAGAAAAAAGGCAACTGAGAGGAAGACCGAATTCTGATTTTAAGACTTCCTAAAAATTAATCTTGTATCTCTTTGCTTAATATTAAGGTCATCCTATTATCTTCATGTTCCCTGTAATAAATTCAAATTAAATGAAAGCAGTGCTATCTATTCATGCTAACTCTGAGAACAAATATTAATCAAATTTCTGCTTGGAATGACTGAGAAAAGGCACTAGGGAGAGCAGGAAGAAGTGGGACACTCACAGTTTTATAGATGAGATCAGTGGGGCAATTGAATTCCTGCTGCATTCTTTCCTCGAGGAAATAGATGCGGAGTTTTAGGTTAAAGTTTTCTTTCTTGAGTTCAGTGATTTGCTGGAAAATAAGTATAGGAGGGTCATCAAAATAAGGTCGAAGGGATGGTGCCAACATTAATACCCACAGCTTCCAAGGCAACAAGTGCTACAAATACTAAATATGGAGAAGGTTTACCTTTGCTACACCTGTACCAAAACAGGATGAAAGAGGAGTTATCACTACAAACTCCACAGCAATTAAAAGGACAAAACAGAGAAGAGTGCCTTCAACTCTGCACATGTAAATTGGACAAGGATGAAACAACACAATTCCTCAAAAAGCACAAATTATCAAAATTCACCAAAGAGAAAACCTGAATTACAAAAAAAATTGAATTTGTAATTGAAAAACATTCAAAATAATACTTCAGACCCAGATGATTTCAGTAGCGGTTTCTACCAAATACTTAAAAGAGGAATAATACCAATGCTACACAATCTCTTCTAGAAAATAGAAGATAAAGTAATTTCCCCAGTTCATTTTATGAGAGCAGTATTACCTTGATGCCAAAACCAAACAAAACATTTCAAGAAATCCGTACTGAACATGGAACACAAAAACCCTCAACTAAATTTTAGCAAATTGAAAAAAAGATTAATTACATCATGAGTAGGATTTATTCCAGGAATATGAGGTTAATTCAATATTCAAAAGTCTATCCATATAATTCACCAAACTAAAAGATTAAAGAATAAGTGATATCAACAGACATAGGAAAAAATTTATAAAACCCAACAGCCACTCAAGATAAAAACTCAGCAAACTAGGAATTAAAGAAAACTTTCTTAATTTGCTAAAGAGCAGTTATAAAAATTCTACACATTGGAAGTACCTCAATCTGCTAAAAATGGAGTTTCCATATGATCCAGCAATCCCACTCTTAGGTATTTACCCAAAGGACACAAAAACACTAATTCAAAAGGACACCTGCACCCCTATGTTTATTGCCGCACTATTTATAATAGGTAAGCTATGGAAACAACCCAAATGCCCAAAAATAGATGATTGGATCAAGAAGATGTGGTACATATACACAATGGATATTATCAGCAATCAAAAAAAAGATAAACTCATGCCATTTGCAGCAACATGGATGGAACTGGAAGGGATCATGCTCAGTGAAATAAGCCAGAAAGAAAAAGAAAAATACTGGATGGTCTCATTATAGCAGGAATTTAGAAAACCTCAATAAGGGATCAGGAAAAAGACTAATTATAATAAAGTAAAAATCAAAATCAATAGGCAACTATAAACCAGAAACATACTACAGGAGCGGGGGGAGGGAGTAGGATCAAAACAAGGGGGGGTGGGAATTTTACGGGGACAATAACTAAGATGAAAATGCCTACATTGTACAAAAATGAAAAATGATGTAAAAAATATATAAAATAATTTTTTTTAAATCCACACATTTATAAGAAATATAGCAATAATTAAAGATGAGAGGCTGACTGCCACTCTCCCACCACTAAGAATAAGAAAAGAATACCTCTCACAATTTCTATTCTACACTGTATTTGAAGCCCTAAACAGTACACTAACACAGGGAAAGAAATCAAAGGCATTAGATGGGACAACAAGAAATAAAACCATCCTTACTTGAAGATGATATGATCGTCTGCATAAAATTTCAAAAAAGTTTCTAGAATTTGTGAGTTTAGCAAAATCAACCTGCAAATATCAATCATATACTAGCAACAAAGAATTAGAAACTGAATATTTTATTTTTTTAAATAAATTTTATTTTTATATTCCCCATACAATTGCAATCCCCTTATTTTGACCCCAATCCCTCCCCTCCCTGCCCCCACCCCCCATAGAGTGTCTCTGGTTCATAGTTTTTTGTTGATTTTGATTTTCACTTTCTTATAATTATTCATTTTCCTGGTCCCTTATTTAAGTTTTCTAGATTCCTGCTATGAGTGAGACCATCCGGTATTTTTCTTTTTCTTTCTGGCTTATTTCGCTGAGCATGGTCCCTTCCAGCGCCATCCATGTTGCTGCAAATTGCATGTGAAACTGAATATTTTAAATATCATTTAGTACACCTCCAAAAATGAAATTCCAAGTATAAATCTAATAAAACATGTATACTTAAAACCACAAAATGTTGGTGAGATCAAGAAAACCTAAATAAGTGAAAAGGCTTACCAAATTCAAGGATCAAAAGATTTACCACAATAAAGATACCATATCTCTTCTAATTGATCTAAAGATTTAATAAATCTCAAAAAAAAAAAAATACAGCAGGTTTTTTTGTAGCTAGAAACAAGTTGATTCTAGCATTTATTTGGAACAGTAAAAGGACTAGATGAGTGAAAATAATTTTGAAAAACAATCCAACAAAACACAATACAGAAATGAACTCATACAATTATAACCAACTGATTTTTGACAAAAGTACATTTGTCAAAAAAAAAAAAAAAATGAACCTTGATCTAAACCTCACACTTGAAATAAGAGTTAACTCAAATTAGATCACATTTCTAAATATAAAACGTAAAACTATTAACTTTGAGAAAACCATGTAGAGGGAAATCTTTGGTACTAGTTCTTAGCTACAACAAGGCATGATTCATTTAAAAAATACATTTTTAATATATCATCAAAAATTAAAACATTTGCATTGAAAATAACATTAAAAGAACAAAAGGGCAAGCCACATACTGAGAGAAAATATCTGTAAATCACTATCCAATACAGGAATTGTACCTAGAGTACACAAATAACTCTCCAAATATAACTAAGAAAACAACCCAATTTAAAAAAAAAAAAAAAACCTGGCCAAAGATTTGAAAAGAAACTTCACTATGGAAGATACAAAGATGACAAATAAGCACAAGAAAACATTCTCACTAACTTTAGTCATTAAGAAAATACAAAGTAAAACTACAATAAGATACCACTGTACAACCATAAGAATGGCTAAAAAAAAATTTAATTTGCAATCCCACATGCTGATGAGCATATGAAACCATCAGAATTCTCATACTTTGCTGACAGGAATGCAAAATGGCACAACCATTCTGGAAAAGATTGTGGCACTTCTTACAAAAAAGCTATACTTACCACATGACTCAGCAATTCACCCCTAAGTATTTACTCGAGAGAAATGAAAAACCGTGCTCACTAAAAACCTGGAAAGGAATGTTTACTACAGCTGTATTAATAATTGCCAGAACTGGAAAGTACCCAACCTCCTTCATTCAAAGGGTGAGTAGAGTGTACATCCTGGGACGGAATACCGCTCAGCTACTTTGCACACATAACATGAATGAATTTCAAAGGCATTACAGAGAGGGAAAGAAGCTGGCCTCAAAAGACTGCAGTGCCTGATTCCATTTATAAGACATCTGAAAAAAGCAAAATAATAGGGATAGAAAAACAGATTAGCTGCCAGAGGTTTGGGATGAAGAGAGGGTTTGACCACGAAGAGACAACACACGAGAATATTTTCACATTATTGAACTACCGCATATTCTGATTGTGGCAAGGGTGACATGGACCTAGAACTATATGCACAGATACAGGAAAAAAGAAACCTCTTGGGCCTCCCTGGTGGCACAAGGGGTTAAGACGCAACCTATGAAGCTTCTACAGCCTCTGCTGCACGAGCTCGATCCCCAGGCCGACCAGGCGCAGCAGACCTCTCCTGACTCGCCCACTGCTCCCCTCAGCAGTGTACTTTGGTCAATCTGCCTGTTCTGTTCCCCATTCTGTCTCTGGTGAATCCTCTCACACACACACACCCCCTACCTCTGGCCTATACCCCAGCTCTTGTATGCATAAATAATCTTTTTAAAAAAAAAGAAAAGAAACTTCTTGATTCTGACAGAGGCTATAAGACAGCATCCATTTGTCAAAACTCATCCACCACTTTAAATTGGGGAATTTTATTTTATATAAGTTGTATCTCAATAAAGTTGATTTAGAAACAACAAAATGAAATATAGCAAAATTATCAACAGCTATCCTTGAATGCTAATATATCCCTAATAAATACATTCACCAGTTTTTTTTTCAGCATTCTAAAAAAAAAATTGGCTATGGCATATACTCTTCTTACATGCTTTGATTTCTGAATAAGAGAAAATGATAAGCACACTCGACATTAAGTATATTTCAAACTGTCTGCTCTTGGCCCCTTGTTAACTTCTGTGTTCAATTTTGTGGCAATAAGAACAGCACCAGAAACAATTGGTAGGTTCATTAAAGCCTCCTTTCAAATGTTTTAAGGAAACTGCACATCAAATATTCATTCAAACAAAAGTCTACCCTGCCAGATGCTTACAATAAAGAGAAACCTTATGCTATCACTAAGCTCCCAATAAAATATTTATGGAGGTTGTTTAGAATGCCCACACTATACACTGCCAAAACTCTTAGCAAAAAAAAAAAAAACTCTTAGCAACACTTGAAAGAATATTTGTCCTATTTATAGGTACAGGAGCTTTTAAGAAAAATGAGAGAAAGATAAGTAAGACTTGGGAAGTTCACTATAAACACCACAGGGCCAGATGAACAAAAATGAGTAATGCTAGATACAGGCAGCACCATCTCCCCCAGCCATGCCTGTGTCAGTGTGTGTAGTGCTTGAGAGCGCTTCTCTCATAAAGTTTTCTCTGACTACCACCATAAGGCTGGGCTGGGGCCCCTTCCAGATATCCCCACACACTCTCTACTTTCCTGATTGCCACACTCCCTTGTACAGGAGGGTCACCTGTTTTTCTACCCTCTAAGAGAGCAGGAACATATCTATACTGTACTTTTTGTCTAGAAGAGACATTGCTAAATTAATATGACTGAGTGAAAGGTGGGTAGACACATTTAAGAATTTTTTGGAAAGCAGTGTAACGAAGAGTGGGCCACAGGTTTCTAAGTCAGAGAGATCTGGTTCATGATACTCCACTGTTCTGTTTTTTTTTTTTTCCCCATTCCTTCTAGAATCCCTCCAAGGCCACAAAATGCCATGTGATCTGGCCCCCACCTGCCACTTGAGTCTCACGGTATATCCTGCA